AGGAAAACAAATAGACAAATAATAGTGAGTTACAGACAAAAGAGGTAGGAGATTATCAAGAGTTGTACTATACTTTGGTATCTTCAAAGTGGCTTCTAAATAGAGTCAGCTTTTAATTTTTGTGAAAAAACATTTTTGGTGGTGGTTCTGGAGATGAAATTCAGGGCTTTGCACTTGCTAGCTGAAGTGTCTGTTGCTGAGCTATGCTCCTTGCCCCAATCCGATGAATTGAACAGTGATTGCAATGAATCTGTTAAGTCAACTTGGGGACAGTTGAGTATTAACAGTGTTAAATCTTCCAGTCAATGAATGTAGACTGTCTTTCCATTTACTTAAGATCTTAATTTCCTTCAGTAAAGTATTTTTTGTGTACATTTCACATTTTTAAAATGAAACTAGGAAGTATCTTACTGCTAATGTGAACAGAATTATTTTAATTTCATTTTTGGATGGTTCATTGCTGGTAAAGAGAAATGCAACTGATTTGTATATATTGATCTTGTATTATTGTGGTCTTGTTTTTAGGTCTACTAGATGTTGGGGGCTATCGTAAGGTGCTCTACATCCAGGACAGTGTATAGAGGCAGTTTTGCTTATTCCTTTGTAGTCAGGATACAGCCCCGTTGAGTGATGAAGAGGAGCCCGAAGGTTAGCTGTGTAGCTGCCCAGCATGGAGATAAAAATAGGGGTAGGTATGGCTGAGCACGGTGGTGTGTACCTGTAATCCCACCTATTCAGGACACTGAGGCAGAAGGACTGCACATTTAAGGTCAGGCTGGGCTACTTGGTGAGAACTTACCTCAAAATCAAAAATGAAAACAGGAGCCAGGCATGGTTGTAATCCCAGCACTTGGGAAGCTGAGGTAAAACAATCTTAAATTCAAGGCCAGTCTGGGCTAGAGTCTGGACTACAGACTACACCTGTCTCAAAAACAGAAAAAGCAAAACAAAACAACAACAACAACAAAAACCAAAGCAATATGGCTGCTTTGATCCTAGTACTCAAAGAAAATAACTGAATTATGAACATTAGGACTGCAGAACATTCTTATGAAAAAGAGGACTGGATAGGGTAGATGTTAGACTAGGAAAAAAGTGAGGATTTGTATTTAGCAAACACCTAAGAAAGGAGGCAGTCCTTAGGACTCTGTACATCAGTGCTGATACACAACTTGTGTTCTGAGTTTAGCTTTCCAAAGGTGGATGGTTTTCCAGCCTCATTTGCAGCCAAGATCAAGCTTGCCAGTGTGGTTTAGGTCCTGGCCAGGATTCACCCTGCTGAGAGCAGTGACTCTAGGAGGCTTAAGCAGTGGTGTCCTGGGGACTGGTGACCACTGTCATTAGCATGGCAGATGTTCGCATTGCCACAGTACTGTCCTCTTCTGGGATGGCTGGTTGTTGTCAATGGCGACAAAGCCTGTGACACTGCCCTCTTGGAGGTTTTGTATGCTAAGCAATCCCTTCTTTTAAAATGAGTTTGA